CAGTTCCTCCTGGTATTTCTCAGAAAGTTGTGAGTCTTTGGACAAGCGTCTTTCTGTGGTACAGAGACGAGGCAGAACGCCTTCCTTGGGGGCTTGAAAGGCAGGCATATTGGGAATTCTCAGCAGGGGAGTGGCATAGCGCATTACACCATCTATTTCTACTCTTTCTGTCTTGGAATGAAGAAGAGCGAGAGCCATCTTGTCCTATTCCGACCTTGTGGCTGTCTTTTCATTTGCATAGGGCAAGGTGTCCATCTGCCAGAGTCTTTCCACGTTCCTGAGTAATTCACTTTTAAGGCAGGTCAGTGTGAAGGGTAGAGTTTGTTGGGTTTGGATTAAGCTGGCTGGACCTTGGAGGGCCCATCCTAGCCTTGTGTGTACTGCCAGTGGGCCACCGGGGGGCCCAATGCGAATGGGCTCTGTGGCTGTGATGAGATGGGCATAGTCTGAACCAATGAGGACAAGAGGGCATGCGTGGTCAATTGGCTCTAATGAAATGTCTCTGAGATGGTGAAACTGTTTTTGTAACTGTTTTACAGGGTAAGTGTGCTCTGAAAGGTCGAGATTCTCAGCAGTGAATGCTCCGTTGATGACATGCCTTTCAGTTGGCTGGTCAATAGGGGAGATTCCAAAGGAAACAGTTGCTCCACTTACTTGCACTATATCCTGCCGCTGCCGCACTGTGCGTAGTGAGATTGTTTCAGGCTGTGTTGAGAGACCCAAACACTGGACAGCAAAGGGGAGCAGGATGGATCGATCAGCACCATCATCAAGGACTGCATGAGTTATGAGGGTTCTGTCTCCGTTGTGGAGAAGTACATTGACAATTTTCAACATGACTTTATGGGAGCGGTTAGGTTTGTCCATGTAGAGAAGCTCTGAGGAGGGGGATGTGTACATCACTGTAGCTGATTTGTTTGAATTAAAGTCATGGAGAATAGTCAAGTGAATGGTCCTTTGAGCGGGAGACTGAGCCACACTCCACACAGTGACCAAATTACAGATTCCGGGACTGATGACATGCAGACAATGGATGAACCCAACAATGGAGGTCAGGCCATTTCTACTGAGAACATGGATGGATCCGAAGGTGTCCCAGACTTAACCCAGCTCTACTTACAAGAGGGCCCGTCTCAAACATCACCTAGGCCACCCACACCTGCTCATCAAACAGAGCCTTTCACCTGCACCCTTATTGCCTACCCCTCATCTCATTCTGCAATCAGTACCCCTGGAAGTATTAGCCAAAGACCCAACAAAGCCAATTAGCCATCGTGACCTAGGGGCTAGACCCAAAAGAGATGGACGGCCATGTGATAGCTCATGTGCAACCATTTCTAAACAGCACGAAACCTTTACTATGGAGATCATCTGTTGATGTTTGTTCTTAATAGATTTCTATCAGTATTATATTAACACTGGATGTCAATGTTGGAGCAAGCGCTAACATCTCCATCAATAAGTTAGCAGGAATGTTTGCCAATACAAACTAGTTAAACATATTTGTTCAGCAATACAGTGTCGCCATTTTGCCATTCCCAAAAGGTAAAGCCAGGTGTTATTACCTCACCATAATTTGTACTATAATATTATAAAATGACTACCTGAGAGTGTCAGCATCCAGCTATTAGCTACCGTACACCAGCTGGTATGCAAGAAGTACATGTACTGTAGCATATTATTTTCAAGTCAATAATTTTTCTAATTTTGAATTTCACACATTAAAATAAAAAAAAGACACATTCATTTATTGGGGTGCTTAGGGGGTGCTATGGCTATCCTAGGGGGAGCTGCAGCACCCCCTAGCGCCCCCTTGGCGCCGCCTATGTGCAACAGGGCAGCGTACTAGGCTATTTTAACATCCAAGGATAGTTCCATGTTTCATATCAAAATACACAAACAGTAAATGTGTTGTGAATGTGGCCATTGCACTTTGTTTGCTATGTGTTTTGCCACAGCAGCACCAACAGTTATACAACTTTAAGACCTTAGGGGCAAAATGATCTGTTTCTGCTTTGAGTCTTTAGTAGGATCAACTGGCCTTCGATTTTAGTAGCACAGACAGTATAGACAAGTTGTGTAAAGTATCTTTCATTGAGTGTGATGTTTGGTTCACATATTGACGATTACCATGGCATTTAAGTGTCTAAATATTGATATCTTGTAAATTATACACATACAGTATGATACTAAGGATCATCTTCTTTAAAGATGTTAGGCCTTGGATGGATTTTTCAGTTATTAGTAAAACTGGTTGCCTTTTCACAATTCATTAGAATAATTTTGTATTACACTTTTGTACAGTCACATCAACATGCATCAAAACACCAATAGTCCTCATTTAACCCTTCTTGTAAGAGCTAATATGAAGGTGAAGTCGCATTAAGGGCAACATTTATATTTGGCACCTGTCACATTTCAACATCATCTTGTGGCATCATCTTGACAGGATGACAGTGGAGTGCACATGTTTCCCACACAAGAGTGGATCCATAAATCAGGCCATGGGGCCGAGACACAGAGCAGTCAACTAGGAAATCTACTTCAAATAAAGGCTAATACTAATCCACTTTCTCTGATTGAAAGACACATTTGGGACTAGTGCATTCAAATATCAGACTGAGACTTGAGATTCTACTAAACAAAAGCTAAACTACATTCATTTGAAAAAAGAAAAACACAGGTAATACGTGGAGGAAGAAACTGCAGCAACACTAAAGCGACAGGAGGGAAATGAAAAAGAAAGGGAGGAAAAAGAGAAACTGCTTGAGCATGATTGCTTGTGCATAAAAAAGCACACACAATGGCACTTTCGGTACAACAGTGTCACAACATAGGTCACGTAGACAGAGCAACCTTCTGAACAGGCATTAGAAACTGAATAGATAAAGAAAACAATTATTAGTGCTCGCTCTCTTTTATCGGTTATATCATGATCAGGGGATAAAACATATAAAGCTATCCCTCGATCCAAAACACCGATTTATGTAAGGCTTGGAACCGATATCAATACAGCCTGTAAATAAATAAATACATTAAAATACATGTTTTTTGCAGCAAAGGATTCGGCTAGAAATGATATTCTTATTATGCGCAATGGTACACAACAGTGTTTCATCTTAGCACACATTAGAGACCTCTGATTCCTTCCAAAAGGCAATGCCATCTGGTGGGCAGGATGGCCATAAATAGAAATACAAAAAGATGTCTTGGTGAAACAAATAATGGTACACGGCCCACTTTTTTATTTTATATTCAAGCTCTTGGTTGTGCAGATGGTGTGTTTTTTGAGGCACTCTTTCATGTACACATTTATAATTTGGACATGCAGTTCATGCCACAATGGATTGGTTCTTATCTGTAATTATTCAAATGAAAACCAGTACTCACTGATCTCACAGGCACAAACCCTATACATAACATTCCACACCATTTCATTAATCATCAACAATCAACAAATTGTTTTGTTTTTCAATCATATCAACAGCAAAACAACACAATGGAAACTATAATCCCTACAAGTAAAAACCCAAATTGTACTTAGGTTAAAGTATGTTTTATTGGCTAAATGAAAAACCTGAAAACCTAAATTCACGATCAGTGATTATTTCACGTGAGAAGTCATTTTTGTTTTGTCTTTGCACTGGTTTGAAGTTGAAAACAGCTTATAAGAACATATTAACAGTGTGTGTTGCTGGTACGGGGGGGGGGGGGGGAGCTCATCGTTGTTCCATGTTGTTGCCTAACTTAACAAGGCAGGCAGAGTCACAGTCTGTAGAGTCCCAGGGGAAATTTAGAACGATCACCAGTCAGACTCACTCCTCTAGGACAAACTCTGACAAACTGGAGGAAGGTAGGATTCGACAGTTACAGACAGTGCATCACATCTAATTGGACACCAAAGAGAGCTGAAGGTGTTTCAGTCACACACACATCGCCACGTGTAGCTGAACTAATGTGAGCTGCTCTGCCTATAAGCTGCATAACTAAAATGTCATCAGCCTGAGGAGAGTATGTTTAATGTATTGGGAATTAACACCATGCTACTCCCAAGGGATACATTCACTACACTAATTCCAGCTGATTATCACAGTATTAACATTTATGCAGCTGCGTGCACTTAAGCTATTTGGTTGCCAGCCGATAGCTCAGTGACACAATCACTTTTCTCCTGCTCCTGCGAGATTTTCTATCAACAAGAAAGTGGAGCATTTCATTTAAGGTGTTTTATAACCCTATCCAAGTGTGTCAAAAAAATCATTTAAAAATGCTAATGTCAGTTATAATCACATTTCTGTACGTCCACTTTGACAACCTTTTAAATTCCCCTAAAACGACCAGATTTTTTCTTAAATCAAGGCTTATAACTTTACTTTGTGTCACTTTAAATAAATCTAATATGGGACTTTCCATTCGTATGTTGCACTAGACTATGCATTTATTTCAGTAAATCTATTCATCGAATTTGCATTGTTTTTTTATGCTTCGTGTTCATTTTATGTATAATTTGAATGCCTTTAATATCTTATGTTAAGAATTTTTGGACACTTCTTGAAATGCCTTGTTTCAAGTCCGGCTTAAAGATTAGTCTCATAAATTGCACAATTAATTTAAAAAAATTAAGATTTATGTTTTTAATGACACGTGTTTAACAAATAATTCATATTTATGGGATGATTCTGTCTCATAAAGAGAAACCACAGGATTAATTTATCAAACCACAAGAGCCAGATGGATCTGACTGTATACTGGACCCTTTGTTGCAAGACAATCTAAATAGGACCAGTAATTCCATAAGATTTTCTGATAATAATCTCTGTTATTCCTCACTCTGGTTGCCGTGTTTTCAGATCTCTCCTCCTTTCTCCCCCTGAATCCGCCACGCTACATTGGTTGCCTGGATGTTACACTTCAACAGGGTGCCTGCTGCTGATTGGCTGTAGCTGCAGGAGGGCATGGAAGCTCTCTCACCAAAACAGACATAAAAGGCAGCGAGTGGGATCAGACCCAGAGAAGCATTCAATGAGCAACTTTGAGGAGCTTTGACAGAGAGCCCCTGACAGGTGAAACAAAGCAAAGAAAGGAGCTCACGGAGAACAATCACAAGAAACTGCAGAAGGGGAGAATTTCAAGGAAGGCTATTTAAAAAAAGGTAGAAATCTATAACATTTGCAGTGTTACAGCACTTGTTGTAAACAGTGAAAGCAAGTGAGTAAACTGAGACAGTTTTTGGGACATTTCTTTCCTAATTTTTGCCCTCAAATAAAAAGTCCAAAAAAAGCAGCATGTCTCTGGAGGTGAAGGAGAAGACCCACGTCCGCCTGGTATTTCTGGGGGCAGCAGGAGTGGGAAAGACAGCCCTGATCCAACGCTTCCTCGAAGACACATTTGAGCCCAAACACAAGCGCACAGTGGAGGAGATGCACAGTAAGGAGTATGACATTGGTGGGGTGAAGATCTCCGTGGAGATCCTGGACACCAGTGGCAGCTACTCCTTCCCCGCCATGCGCAAGCTCTCCATCCAAAACAGCGACGCCTTCGCACTGGTGTACGCCGTGGACGACCCCGAGTCACTGGAGGCTGTCAAGATACTCCGAGATGAGATTCTGGAGATCAAGGAGGACAAGTACACACCCATCGTGGTGGTGGGGAACAAGGTGGACCGGGTGAAGGAGCGTCAGGTGTCCAATGAGGACGTGCTGTCCACCGTGGAGATGGATTGGAACAACAGTTATCTGGAAGCTTCAGCAAAGGAAAACGCCAATGTGGTGGAGGTGTTCAAGGAGCTCCTGCAGCAGGCCAACCTCCCCTGCCGCATCAGCCCCGCGCTGAGAAGACGCCGGGAGACCTTCCCCAAAGACACCAACTTCCGGCCGCCCATGAACAAAACCAACAGCTGTATTTTGTCATAATGACAGACAGAGGAGAAGTGCCGTTTTGTTTCATGGAGGGCCAAGAGATGAGAGCACTAGTCAAATGCTGCTGGCCAGAGAAAAAGAATCAAGCTTGGACTTCAGTTGGTGGAGACCAAGGAGACTGAAATTAGTGATCTTTGACTGGCAAGGACTTTGTTCAGGGGTCACGATAAAAAGAGGAAAAGAAACTGAGGAGGCGAACGGTGTGAAGACTGGTCAGACTGCCAGTGGAAAGATGGAAGCTGTGTTTATCACTCAGTTCTTTACTCGATGTAATGTTGTTGCAGCTTATTTGGTGACATGCTGCTGGTGTGTAGATCAATGTATCCCTCATGGATTTTGAATTAAAATGTTCACTTACATCAAGGTTTGGACTGTTGCTAACACACTTTTTACATACTTGTTGTTTAACGTGCATACGTTGTATGTCTCATGTAAATTGTTTTAAATTTAGCAATTCAGTATATGTAGCACATTATGTTTACAGTTGTTGTATTCGATCTCAATTTGCCATTGATAATATTATTTGTTTTTTAAATGTTGTAAAATATAAACGGTTAATGCACTTCTTATTTTTAAATTACCATTCAAAAGGATGTTTTAAGGTTTATTGTTTTTTACCAAGGTATATTCTCACAGATATTATTTTTTGCTGTTTATTTGACAAATGTATGTTGAATGTGGATCTAAATGTGCAATAAAAAGATATAAGCACAAAGAAAGTGAATGTTGTTGTTTGGAATGTATAGATGTGTAGGTTCTATGGCATAGGAAAATAGTTCAGTATTAACTAAATCATTCTGTGAAGGAGGTACGTTTTTTTTTGGAGTACATGATAAATCAACATTTAATCCCTCAAAACAATTTCTTTAAAGAAATCAGAATCACATTATATAGAATAAAGACAACATGAATAATAAACCTCAAGGTCATGAACATGTTGCACAATATTATTTAATATATAAAGTACTGTATTGTAGGACTGCCGTCATTTTGACTGTTATCTCATCAAACTTAAATATTTTTGATTAATATCCTTATTTACACAAAACTGAATTTTCAGAATACATTTAAGAGCTGCGTTTTTCATCAGTAGGAGATTTCTGCAGAGGGCAGCAGTCACTTTCGATTCAAAATGTGTGTGAGCAAATAGATTTCCCCAGGCAACAGATGTTCTGATGTCCTTTCAGGCAGAAGCAGGAAGGATAGGAAGACACACAAAACAAATGAAATAAATGACAGTAAAGATTAGAAGCGTCTACATGTCAATGCAATGCACGTGTTAGAGAACTGTGAATATAGATTATTGTGGGGTTGGGTCCCAGCACATTCACTTTTTGCGCCATTGCAAAATGGGACCAAATAAACCAAGGTGCGAGGAGATTTAATCCCTGTTTTTTATATATATTAGCTGAAATAATATAAGTGACATAAACTAGTAAATTAGTGTATCAAGTGGACTGAAATCCAGAGTTGGAGCTTTACATTTCTCAACTGTCCGCATCCTAGAGTATTACAAGATCTCTGTCGCCATCTGTTGATGCAACACATACATTACATCCACTGAAACTACTGTAGTAATATCTTAGTGTATGTCAGGTATGAAATGCTTTCGTTTTTACCTTATTAATCTTTTAAAATACAGACGTCACTGCATAGCCTCATTAGTTAAATCAGCGATCTAATAACCAAAGAAATTAAGAAGATCATGCTATCGTCCATAATGAATCAGTAGTGATTGGACTGACTGAAAGCATGTTTCCAAGCTTTTGAAGAAGTCTATTGTGTAGCAGATGGCCTCTCTGAACCTGAAAGCGTCTAAAACATCATTGATAATATCGCAAATGCTTTCAACACTGCTTTAACTTCATGTGAAAGCAGGTGTGACATCCACATTAAAGAAGCAGTTTAACTGGCTCAGAGCCTGAAAGGACAGCAGTCAAAGTTAAGCAGAAGTTAAGCAAAAAGAAGCATCGAAACATTTGAGTATGAAATAGTTCAGCAGAAGTCCAACACAAAACGGATCATGGTGCGGTTCCTGAAAAAGCTGTGCATGGTTCCCCTAAATGAACCTGTGAGCGGAGACAGTTGAAGTGCTCAAGTTGAAGTGCTCAGGTTGAACCCCCACCCCATTCCATCAGATAAGACTGAACAAAGTTTCCTGTTTCAATTTGAGGAAGTGGCCTGGTAAACGTTTGCGGACAGTTCCTCTTTCAGTCCACATTTAAACATTCTTCCGCTCTCCACTCATGTTCAGTTGCAAAGGGAAGGAGGTGTAGAGGCTCTTCAGTCACGCAGGTGTGTGGATTTGTTATCTCGAGTTCTACTTTCATTTAAGATGGATATTTGGAGGATTTATGGACACTCTACAAACACAACTTTAGTAGTACTGTTATTAGCATTTAGCGGTCAGATTTGAGCTGCAGTAATGGAAGTCATTTTCTCAGATGTCTTTGCCCCTGGACTTGGTCAAAGCTCCTCAGCAGAATAAGAGACTCTGAGGCGTTTAGAACAAGTTCAGGGTCCTGGACAGAAACCAGCAGGATTATTGAAGAGTGTGTGATTACATGTCAGTAGATTCTGCGTTAAACTAAGTAGTAAGTGTTTCCTGCTTCTGGAGAAGAGTCAAAAGCTTAAAAATGTGTCACATTACTATTTTAACTCTGGCTGAGTCTTAGTGGGGCATGTGTCAATGTCAATTTGTTTGTGTTACATTTGATGTGTATTAGTCATCTTTTATTATTATGAATAAAGTAGGAATTATATTCCAGTCAGAACTTACATTGGGAAAAAAGTAATCAAAATATAAATTTGACTATTTAATAGTATGTTGTTAATGTCAATAACATATTGTAAACCCATAGTATTGGAGAATAATGACTAATTGATCACCTTCTGCATCAAGCTTTAAATATTATCCACCATCTAATTATTTTACAAGGCAAAAGGTTCATTTTCATTCTGTTACACACACGTCACACGCAGGATTTATTTTACTATCTAACCTGGAACCCTGGCTGCGTTACACAAAACGTTTCCTACACCATACTTCCTTATAAGTTATGTACTGTATGTCCTTTAGTGCATCTGCTGCAACCGTAAAATGACAACTCATCATGCAATGCAAACTCTTTAGGTTAAGCATTTCCATCTAACTGTCTGAACACTGCAGGATGATGTGTAACGTGTCTCCATGCTTCATAAAGCAAGCAGCCCTAGCTCTGACTGAAACTGCTACTGAAAGCTTCGGCTCAGGTGTGAACCCACTGGACTGCACATTTCTGACAGTTCCACAAATATCTTCACACTTACAAAGAAAAATGCAAACTATATGTGCCTTACTGCCACCTGTGCTACTTTCATGTACTGAATACCCAAGTGTTTGTCATTTTAAATCCATATGATAAAAGAGAAAAAGGTAATTCACCCAAGAATAATAGTTTTATTTGCCAAATTCTTCAGCTGACTGAGAGGATGCACGTGATACATTATGTTGTGCTATATATGTTTTCAGATGGTGGGAAGCATGTGTTAGTGAAGTGAAACAGTTTGCATTGCGTGTACAGTCCCATTATGTATCTTATCAGAGGATTAGAGTAGAGTTTGACTTGTCTAACACAGTGAATACAGTCAGTTTCTGCCAACATGTTATCCGTAAAACAAACAAGAACAACAGGTTAAAGCAAAAATGCATTAATCTTGGTCATCGGTGTGTGTGTGTGTGCTGGAATGTAAATGCAAGTGTGTGTGTTGCCTCAGTCATCCACAGCGATGTTGCGGAACAGATAAGCCATGGACTCTCCGTTGTGGGTGCGGCGGATGGCCTCAGCCAGGATCATACTGACGTCCACAGTCTTGATTTTTGGACACTGAAGCTTCTGCACCTCGTGAGGCACGGTGTTGGTCACCACCACCTGGAGGCGCAAAACAACAGCTCAGTGACAAATAAAGAGGATATTCCACTGTTCAAGTCTGCCTGTCATCTGGTTTGTGTTACGAGTAATGGAACCTTTCTCTTGCTGAGACAATCAAGACATGCATCAAATGTCATATATTGATTATGAATAAATATGGAGGGATACATCACCAAACATTTGCCTTTGTTTCAAAAAGAAAATCAATATAAGCAAAAGAGTGAAAGTTATTTGCAGAGGTGATTTAGCATTTGTCTTTACTTTTGAGGCGGAAGGCTAAATGCTGATCTGTCGTGTGTATATGTTCTGGAGTGATGGGAAAGCATTGGATTAATTAATAAAGTTTACTGAATGTAGGTCAATGTTGTCCTTGTTTTTTAATTCACATACATTTTTCAGGCACTTTAGAATGTAAACTTCAGTGATAAGACCCGCTCATGATTTTACCTCATCGATGGCGGAGTCCTCCAGTAGTCTGGGTGCGTCTGCAGACAGCAGGCCGTGTGTCGCCATGATGTAGATCTTGTAGGCTCCCCTCTCTTTGAGGATTTCTGCTGTGGCAACAAAGTCCTCCACATCATCGATGATGTCATCCTGAGATAATGGACACAGATAATGGGTCAGGCATCACACAACGAAGAACTAATTAAGAAGCAATACATACAATGCATATATTTAGATTCTGGAATATGAATGTAAAGATTACAGTTGTCATTAAGTGGGTGACAGTGACATGACTCTGATAAGGTACAAAAATATACTGTAACTGTTACACATACTTAGTCTTGCTGTGATATTTTGTGGTAATCTACCCCTCATTAGAAGCAATGTACTCACTGAACCCCACACAACTGTCGCATATTTTGTATAATGCCTAATTTTGAAGGATTAATATGCGAAACACTCTTACACTGTACAATACAATAAAAGTTGAAGGTCTTACAACAATGATGGCAATTCTGCCTCCCACGTCTCCGACAACAGTGATGGGGGGCTTCTCCTTCGCCATCATTACTGAAAGACACATATAAAGGAATGTTACTTAAAAGAGGAAAATAAGTGAGGTCTATCCTGCGACAGGAACAGATCATTGAGGTCAGGTTCATTTAAGGAAGATTGGGTTTAAAAACCTGCAAACATCATGCAAAGGCTCTACCCCAGCAAGCTTCCAGCTACCAGATCACCAACTCAATGACTGCAGTCCACTCAAGAGCTTTGAGGCAAAGTTATCTGTGGGAGAAATTAGTGCTGAATTTGACTCAAGACTCAAATGGATTTAGATGATGGTTGCTTTGCTGTAGCAGTAAATGGACCAGTGGGTGTAGCAGAGACTCTTTTAGAAACCACTGACCAGGATCAAAGATGATTTGGAAACAAATACCATTTTTGACACTTTAGAGTATTGATGTTGTCAATAAAATGATGTGTCTAATGCCCCCCAATTTGAAGTCTATCAACCCTGCATGCATATTTAAATATAGCAAGTACTTGAAGGGGTTTCAAATATTTTTGATCCTGGTCTAGAACCTGTCACATCTGCCTTTGAGGGTCCTGCACACCACGCCAACAAGCTTCTTCCAAACAACATCAGGGCACATTGAGAGCTCAGTTCCCAAATCCATCACAAGACCATCCAGCAAGGCATCTGTGCAGAATCTAAAATATGAAAGGTTTTTAACAGTTACAGAAGTGGGAAAGAAAGGAAGGAAAGCAACTAGAATCCAATTACAAGGATTTCGTTTTTGAAACAAATGAGAATCAAACTGTTTGAGTCACAACAAACAGCATCAAGCAGAAAAGATGTAGAAACATGAGCAGGACTTTAAAAACACATCAAGAATTTCAGACATGGGTATGATCATTGCCAGGATGTCTTGTGAAGCAATTGGTGAGACAATTTGGAGTTCACACTGATCAGAGTGCCGAGTTAAATGGAATTTGATAACCTAAATCTACTAGGCGAGTTGTTAAGTAATTTTTTATTTATTTATTAAGGATTACACGTCTGCAGGGACTAACATAACGTGACTTAAATCATCCATGTCATATAATAATAATCATTATTCTTGATTTAGCAAGAAACAAATTCATTTCAACTGAGATCTGTATGAGACTGAGGGCTTCCAACAATTATCATTGCACTGATCCAAGTATGCCGTAGTCAGTGTTTCAGGACAGAGACTGCTTTTAAAAACATTCAAATGAAAAACATCTGAACATTCATTAATAGAAAAGATTTGTTGATAAAATGTGCTGACTAAGAAAAAGTTATCTTTGATTTTGATGGGGCCGGCATAATGTAACTGTAACCACTTTCATTGGATCACCGTCACTTTGATTTTTGAATGTTTAGATGTGAAATTAATTGGAGGCTCTTAGCAACTCATTCAGTTATTCCATGCGATGGAGGCATCAGAAGGAAGCACGAATGGATTCAAGCGTTATGATCCTACTTGGGAGCTCTAAGCCAGGATATGAAGATTGACGTCTCCTCCCTCCGCCAGCTAAAGACAGGATGGAAGAGAAAGTATTAACACACAATTAAACGTACAGCAGCAGAACCATACTGAGCAAAAATAATGACAACATTCTTCAAAGGATGTAAACCCCAGAGCAGCTGCAGTCAGGATGAATTGACATGTCACGTAATTGAGGCATTTATGGAGGCAGAAAGAGAGAGAGAGAGACGGCTTGAATTAGTGTGATCCAGCTCCTGCTGGGGAGGAGAAGGCTGACATAAAACATATCTCCAAGTCAAGAAGGGGAGAAGGAGGAAGATGAGAAGAGAGAATACAGGGCAAGATGAGATGGGGGGGGAAAAGAAAGGAGGCGATGTCAGTCAATGCCTGCAGTATTTCACAGCTGGCTACGACAACGCCTGCGGAAGGGCAGACCTAATACGTGTGTGTGTGTGTGTGTGTGTGTGTGTGTGTGTGTGTGTGTGTGTGTGTGTGTGTGTGTGTGTGTGTGCAGGGGCATTACTCTGGTCTTAAGCTGGCCATTTAAGGCAGCTTGAAGAGAAGACTGATGCTGCGAGCCACGGTCAGCCCTGATACTGGTACTCAGAGGTATTTGGGTTTTATCAGGACTATTAAAATAAGAAAAACAATCCCAAGACATCCGTTATGCTTCTCGATTTAGTGGGCTGGGCTTATGGTTTATTTGGCTTCGGACACATGAGCAGCAGCTGGCCTTCATGCTTGTTGCAGTCTTATGAGCACAAAGCTTTAAACTCAAGCTCTCTAATCTGGCGGAAATGTAGAAATGTAGCTCTCCACGACCCACACCAGAAGCACTGCACTGGCCGGCAGTTTCTCTTTATTTGGCCAGGACAGGTCAGCCGGTGCCAAGAAGCCATGTTTGTTACAAAAGCACATTTCCTGTTTGCAGTTGAACTATTTGAATAAGATCCATGCTTGGGATAATACAGTTGCAAATGTTTGTGTAGATGAGCATATAGCTTTCCCCTTGCATACATTGTAGTGCGGAACCTCTCATGGAAGAGCAGGTTTGGAGGAATATGTACACTGAAGACAGCATTAACCTGAAAGTTAACTTTGTTTACACACAACCAGCAATACGTACACAATCATTCATAAAACAGGTGTTCTTCAGCAGGATGTAGCTGTGGTGCGTTTCTTACATGGCAGCTCGAGGCCGGTGTGCCCCGGGGTGGTGCGAGACAAGGGCGGCGGAGATTGTCGTCCGTCAGGCATGTCCAACTCTGAGTGGTGGGCTTCTCCGTGCATCACTGCCAGGCCCAGGCGCAGCCTCTCAGCATAGGACTGAGCTCTGAGACAGACGGACACAGAGACACGCAAGAGTCAACGGCTGACAAATGCAACACGTTCAAACAGATATGCAGGCAAAACAGACAGTGGGAATGGGAAGTCAAAAGCACAATAACAATGAAGATGGACAGCAGGAGAAGTGATGCCTTCCTGTCGAACAGAGAGAGGCAACTAGAGATTTTAGTGACTGGGCTGTCATGTTACCTCTTGGCAGATGAAGGGGACCTTGCAACAATTACGGCATTCCTGTAGTCTGGAATCTGAGGAGAGAGAGACATAATTGTCAATGCTAAATTACAAAAGTGACAGTTGACCTGACATGATAGTTATACAGGTTTTCCCACACATAGACTTTACTTGGGCGGGCCGCCCAGGTATATTAACATCCACCAAAGTATATTTCGCGACCCATTTAGGTAAAACCCTTTGTGATCTGCGATCGATTAACTACCCCTCCTGTACCTGTTGGCTCTGCTATCGCGTGACGGATCTGCTTTATGCGCTCTGCAGTAACTCCGCTCTGCAGTAACTCCGAGGTCATAAGCGTGCTCCACTAGCACCCCCCCCGGTTCTAGGCTACCACCACAAGTATATTTCAGATCTGTGGGAAACACTGTATACTATTTCATTTAATTTTGTACTTAATGTATAACAATTATTTGCAAAACATGTCTCTATAAACACACCATACCCGGAAAGGAGCAGGGAGAAGAAAATAATAATCCTATATTACCTGCCACTTTCTAGAAAAATAAAAAATAAATAGAAATATATGGTCTGTCCTTCATATTTTCTTATTCACAGCCAATCATAACAGTATCGCAGGAAAATAAAAGAAACACAAAAACGTAGTTCCCCCTTGACAGTTAACGGAAAGAAACAAAACAACAACAACAACACCAAAACATCACATGTACAAGGAAAAGTTCAACACCCTCATCTGAGTCCTACTGGAGTAGAAGGGGGACATCATAATAATAACTGCAAATAAAGTTGGAGGACAGTAGGAGGACCCCATGGTTGTTGTGACACTCTGCCTCACCTCCTCCTGGATGTACTGGATGAGGAAGGGGGAAGCTCTCAGGTTGTCAACGGGGAAGCTGAAGAAACCCTGGATCTCTTTCTGGTGGAGGTCCATGGTGATGATGTGGGTTAGACCTGCAACACAAAACACATATGCCTCAAGTTCAGAGCAAATGTCTGCAGTGTTTGAAGCACAAAGAACAGCTGTCCCTGGAGACATAGAGATATAAGTGGGTAATTATAAGTCTTGGGAAAATTAGTTTTAAATAATGTGGGGTGCAATTTCATACAGCTCCTGGCCTCAACCTAACATTAATAATACAACAGGACTTTCACAGTGTTTAATTTATACAGGGATCTAAGTGGATATATTATTTGCAGCTAAAGCATGGAGCAAACCTCAGGACTAGTTGAAACCCAAAAAGACTGGACAAACCACACATAACCATTATTTGTAATGTACTTGCACATATACTTTAGTCTACAAGGAGCAAACGTTACGTCTGGTAAAATAATCCAAAAATAAAATATGACTGGCCAGTTACAACTGGAGTTGTGATGTTACACAACAATGTGGATTTTGTAAGATATGTGTTGGTTTCTAAATTATGGCAACATAAAATGACAACCCAGAGTCCGTACCAGCTTTAGCTAACATGGATGCTAGCAGCTTGCAGACGATGGACCCCCTCTTCCTCATCTTGCACTGCTTGCTGTAGGGAAAGTAGGGAATGACCCCGATGATGTTCTTGGCACAGTTAGTCTTCAGAGCGTAGGCCATAACCAGCAGCTCCATGATGGCCGTGTTGACATCCCTGAGAAACAACACATTCAATTCAAAACATAGAACACCTCACATTTCATCTAAATAATTGTCAACCCCCTATCTACTGTAAATTAAGTTAAGTAACCTAATCATGTGCCCTTTTATTAGACTACATCTTAACCAGCTATTTATCTTTGCCAAAAATAACCTCACAATTGAATGGCTAAACGAGGACAGTTTCACTACTTTAGGCAAAGAGCTGTTGGTGTAACAGGACACTGCATGTTACCTTCCTGAAACAAGAGATCCACTAGTTGTGTCTCCACCTGTGACCTCTGCTTACCTCTCAGAGCTTCCTCCTTCATCACAGTAAATAACTAACATGTTGCTTTTTTTCTTCTTCACTTGCTCCATAGTTAATCATTTGGCGTTACACCTCCCAGGCAAAAGTATGCTACGTGATTCTTAAATGTGAAATAAAAAGACAAACTTACCAGGGAAACTGAACATAAATTAGACATTGTTTAACCTGTTTCAGCTATTTACTTCAATGGCGAATTCCTTATGTGAATGCATTACAATTTTAAAAACATATTTAAGTCATTGTCATATGAAGGCTACTCATGCATATGCCATGTAAAACTACAGGGGGATTCAGATGGAGGTGCATGTACATTTAAAACAGTGTGTTAATAAACCATACTTTTACAGCTGCATTTTTGTTGGCAGACCTTTGCCCTTGCCGACCTGTTACACCTCCATCAGACTCAGACTGACACAGCGCCAAATGCTCATTTAGAGTCGTGTTTCTGGACAATATTTACTTTTATTTAAGATTATTTTGCCTTCACCATATCCTAAGAAAAATATGTGAGTCTTTAGCTTGCTAGATTCCCATTGTTAACTTTTTCAGTCTGTTATTTTACTTTTTGCTGAACAACTTCTTAATGCTTCTGGAAACGAGATTGATAGAGTGCTAAACATGAACTTTATTAAAAGAAGCTTAATAAAACCTCAGTAGGTTTTCATAAACTTCTCTGAGGGTTCATAATATTACACATAATGATATGACTGTTAATATAGAACATTAAAGTATCCATCTTGTCTCACCTGGGAATGGTCTGAATGATAAAGATGTCTTGTCCACGTACAGACTCTTGCACTTCCACTTTGGTCTCTGAAAACAAAAACAAACGATGAAATAAAAAAATTCACATCATGTAGGTTCAAGAGCAAAGTCTAAACCACAGTTTATTAATCTGACATGCATTATGGAGAAGAGGAAATAAATCAGCCTTACCCGAGTTCGACCCTTGATAAACCACTGACTTGCCCAACTCTACACCCAACCGTCTGGGAAGAAACAAACGGGCCAAAGGGTTAAAACACAAACACACCCTTTATGTTTTTATTAATTTAAGTATGTGAATTTAGTGTGTACTAGACTAATGTTTTGTATTTGTGTTTTCGAACAGCAGGTTTTTAAACACACATTGTTTAAGACTTGTTTAAGAAAAGAAAATTGTCATTTTGATAATCCGTTTGTATTAAAGACATTTGATGGATCATTAGTCTATTGATGAATTAGTACATTGACTGAAAAACTATGATCAGATGTATTTCAGCAAAAGCACCAAACATTCTCTGGTTCAAGCTTCTAAAACGTGAGGATGTGATTTTGTGTTTCTTTGTTTACCTTTTTCTTTTGGGGTTTGGAAAACAAGTCATTTGAACACATCAACTAGAGCTATAAGCAATACATGTGTCATTTAATATACCAGACAAAACATTTAAAAAATATTCAGTATAAAAGACAGACTAATAAATAAATAAAAAGTAGTCGTTTGATATTTTGGGTGCGTGTGCAAGCTATGGCCTGCAAAGCGTACATTCCCCAACTTCTAAAATGCATCCCATTGACTATAAAACGTCAAGGTTTAATGAGGTTCAGTAGTGAACACATGATCATTTGTTCAGACATCCACAAAAAGCATTGGTATTGTTGATATTTTGACTCTTAGTGCAGACAAATCCTGTTGCATCAAGTCGAACTCTGAACGAGCCCAGGCACCAAAAATACATCTAAGCCTCAGGCAGACAATTATGGTGTTGATTACAAAAAAAAGGAGTTCACTCATTTGTATCCTGTTAATCAAGACAGGCGTTTCTGTGCAGCCTCACCCCGTTTACATCCCTCAAACTTGTTCAAATATTCAATATAATGTCTTCATCGAGTGGCTATGGTAGAATTAAGTAGACAAAGAAGACAAACAATCATGTCCAAGAATAATAATAATGAGACAACTAGCTTTATATTAGTCATTTTCAACAAGGACTTAAATGTGGTCCTACAAATAATAATGACTTAAGTTCTCGGGATATTACACACAGTGTAGTCACCACATGCACTACTACATGAGTAACTATTCAGAATATTAGTCATTAACATTTGCCGTGTGCTCATGTTGTTATTCAACCTTTGCTCAACAGGGAAGCTCTACTTGGCCCCAGAATGGCAACATAATCACCCATAATAGTGTTCTGTAATATTGCAAAGCAGTAAAAGCTAAGAAAGCTAAGCACTTTTCGTGTGAGCAGTGCAACTTATAAATCAGCTGTCAAAAAAGTTAACAGGTTTTGGGAAAATAAATGGCTGCTTGCAGATTTTATTGGGAAAAAACACAAGAAGAAATTGGCGTTTGCATGACACTTTTAAGGGAAACAATGATTCAGGATTTAAACAAAGAATCATAACAATGCCAGGAGAAAGCTGATGTGTTTGTGCCAACATTTAATCTGTTAAAGCTGGATCATGTCCATTCCAAGATTATTAACAAGATGATTTACTAGTAATAGCAAGATCGGCCATCAAGGGAATCCAACTCCTAGTTTGTGTGTGGTATCAAAAGTTTGGTGCATGTAAGAAATCAGACAAGTAATGAAGATCACCCAATCATTTAACATTTACAGCAAATACTACTACTATCTACTGTGTGTGTGTGTGTGTGTGTGTGTGTGTGTGTGTGTGTGTGTGTGTGTGTGTGTGTGTGTGTGTGTGTGTGTGTGTGTGTGTGTGTGTGTGTGTGTGTGTGTGTGTGTGTGTGTGTGTGTGTGTGTGTGTGTGTGTGTGTGTGTGTGTGTGTGTGTGTGTGTGTGTGTGTTAATTGAACAGCAATAAATGCAAACAATACACACCCACTGGCCACGGGTCACCTGCAGCTAGACTCCCAGGAGTACTGTCAGGGACACGGCAGGTAACACAGACAGGCCAAACCTCAACATTACAGACATGAAAATACAATAATCCTTTTGTTACTTTAAGGTAAACGTCACTTACTCGGTGATCTTCTTGGCCAGCTCGATGCAGGCGGTGGAGGAGTTAGCAGAAAAGACACGGTACCCACTTCTTGAAACATTCATTTTTCGAAAGGTTGGGGGTTTGAGAGTAAGGGAACAAAGACTTGTGACCAGCAAAACGTCTAATGGGCATAGGCCTACTGCGTTGAAATCAACGTGGTAATTGGTTGCGTTTAACCAAAACCGTAAAACTAGTCCGTAATTAGCTTACCTGAAAAGCAGTTTCCACACTAAAACCTAACTATTGGTTGGTTAAACTTCGATCAGATGCACTTTAAAGTAAGGAAATATAGACCTTGCTAAAACTGTGTTAAGCTGTAATGTATATAAACTAAAACAACAAAGCGCACATGCCCCACATGTAACGCTGGAGCAACTCTCGTGCTCGTGTTAGCAAATCAACAACTATCTTTCGCATCGACCAGCACTACACAAAAATCCCCTACAGCAGATGGGAAGCTGGGCTCTGTGTTTCCATGCGGGTCACTGACTTTTTATCGTCTCCAGAACACAAACTCCGGTTTATGTTACCATGAAGACGAACTGAAATGTACCAAGAATTAACTTCGAAACTCCGCTGCTAGCATTCAATTGTTGCTATACTGTAAACTTTGTAGCAATGCGGTGGCAGCAGGGGAAAACACGCCACGAGCACACGTTCATTGGGTGGAAGAAATGAGGGAGTGACTTTGAAGAGAGCCAATCAGAATCCAGAGCGAAACAACACAGAATCTGTAAAATGTATTTCTGACCAATCAGTGTGTGAGATTTGTATGACCTCAAATTAAAGCGCAACGACCAAAAGTGGTCCTGGTGAGTTCATTTTCCTAAATGTATCCAGATAGTGTGCTAGTGATTTAAAGCGTGTAATACTGCAATTATTTGGTTTAGGTAATATAGTGTACACACCCAAGAAGTAAGAAAGTAAGAAAGAAGTAGTATACTCCCAAAGGTAACATCAGTAAAAGTGGTGATAACACTGTGAAATACTGGATTGGATATTATCAGAAAGATTGTTCAATATTCCCTTGTGTATTATTATATATATTTGATTGTTAATATGTACAGTATTGGTACATTATTAAGGACAAATATAATGTGGGCAGTAAGTTGAGGTGTGAAGTTACTTGTTGCACCCTCAGGCAGTTTCAACAAGCATCCTATTACCTGATAATATGTTTGTGTGTAAAATCTGAAAAATAAATATAGTGGAGGAATACATACAATACAGCACTCTTGAATCGAGTAAAGGAAGACTTTAAATTAGCATGACATGCTATGGCAAGTATCTAAGATGGAATGCCAACCAAAACATTTCCAATCACACTTTGTATTATGTAAATGAGTGTAGATGCTATTGAGAATTGTGAATCCACAAAAACATAGCTTTGTTTTTAATTTATTTTCAGAATAGAAATTAGTAACTTTTTCTTTACATTCTTTCATTCTATACAACATCTGCTATGCTATGAGAACTTGGAAGAAAAATAACATTTATATGAATAATAAACAGAAAGTCACATGTGATAAAAAGTAGATTATGTAATATTGCAAATGTATCTAATGACAGTTAACTATACCTGGGTGTAACACATTCAACTGAGGACATACATTAGTCTCAAAGCTAACTTATAGCAAAAATAACAGTGATTGACATCAGTTAAAAAAAACGTTTATAGTTTTTATACAATCTACTGTACAGAATATGGACGCCCATTTATTGGCTTTAATTGCAGTATAAAAGTGCCTTCATGTCAATGTGCGGTAGATTCCCAGTCAGAGACATTTTCTTTAGTTTGACTTCAATTTAACCAAAATCTATTTGAAAAAAAAAGTAGTGGCTAAATGAAGCATATATAAAGTAGTTTATATAGTAAATGCTAAAGGGTTTCAAAAGATAGAGCATCCTGTTAACATCATTGTCAACTACAGGAATACACAACTTTCCTTAGTTGTTCCTCAATTCAGCACCACAAAAAGCTGTCTATCACAGTGTGAACAAAACAACATAACAACAACCCGGGGATCCTGCCCGTCTGCCAGATTTGGCTTCACCGATTTGGATCGACACGCCTTTCTGCATGTCACTTAGGTGGCACTCAATTACAGCACCTCTATTTCTTTAAACAGGTTATGCCATGAGGAAGAAAACAAAGGGAGTTTGTGTGTATCAATATGGGTCAGCTCAGTGAGGCTGGCAAATATTGCAGCTTTAAACACTGTCTGCAGATTGCTACTTTGTGCACCAAACTAGGGCTGTGCGATTATAGCAAAAATCATAATCACGATTATTTGGGTCAATAATTGATATCACGATTATTTTGACGATTATTCATTGACCATTTATTGAACTTTAAAACAAATAATATTTTACCAATAAACAAGATCAACAAATATGTTGGAGCACACTTCCAAAACCATACTAAACATATATTATTAATATGATAAATAAAAATAAATTAGACCAAAATAAATGAAATCAAACATGTTGCAGTGCACTGTCACAACCTACTGAAAACTCCTTAACATATAGCCAACATTTTGGTAAAACATATTCCACATATTCCACTCAGTTAAACGTTGAAGGCTGGCCAACCATCATGGTCCAAAAGTAACAGGAAATACATGTTGAACTACAATTTAAGACCAAATAAAAATGTCTAGGCCACCATGGCAAATGCTGGTAGGGCTGCTCATGTCATCTCTTAAAGATGTTTTGCTAGAAACACCAGGCTGTTTACATGGTCTGGTTTCAGAGATGAGCGCAGACAGGTGACAATATTGCCACCTGTACCCTCAGCTACGCCCCGACACAGGGGTGACGCCGGCCAATCACAAAGCTTTGATGCGTTCAAGTGCATTATTCTGGCACAGGAAGATTATGTTACAGGACATTAACGATAAAACAGAATATTGTTGTTCTATTTTTAGACACATCTCGCGATCGACTGGTTGGGCACCCCTGGGCTAGACCATAGGTCCGTTGTGGTGGCAATGTAGTCAGCTGAAGCCACATCTCTCTCAACTTCCCCACGGCATTTGCCACATAATACCTGCTGAAATAATACCGAGACGGCATCGCGTAATGCTTGTCCAACGTGTTGACAGGTTGCTTAAAGCCCTGGTTGCTAACAGTGCTAACTGGGCACATATCTTTAGCTATGTGAAATGTAATGGCACCTGTAATATCTCTGTGTCTCTGCGAGCTCGTCGCGTAGGCCGTCGCTCTGTACAATGCGTCCTGAATCGATGACTGTGATGATGTGGTGGATGAAGTCGAGCGGCATCTGCTTTTTGTTGTATTATTGCCCAGTCGTATTGCACTTTGTGGTTGTATTTCAGATGATTAAAGAGATTGGTTGTGTTAGCGTGTGGTGCCAACACAACCTGGTAACAAATCCTGCACTGTACTTTGATTTGCTCCACGTCGGACTCCTGAAAGCCAAAGTACTTCCAAATAGTGGAAATAGTTGTACCCTTCTTTTTAACGAGTTGCTGCTCTTGTTCTGACATCTTCGCTTGCGCGGAACACTCACAACACGTCACTCCCACGTGGCCGAGTGGGCTTTTAGGGTGGGGCGAAGCGCACCCAGCTAAATAATCGTATTTTGTCAATTATGCTGTTTTCATAATCGTCGCAAACCATAATCGTAATCGCGATTAAAATACGATTAATTGCACAGCCCTACACCAAACACACTTACAGTTAATGCCTACAGACACTCACAACATTTGTTTTGCTGTTGTGTCATCAGCAAATCCTGTATTACTGCCCTCCATTTTATTTGGTTATTTTACAACGACCTGCATTTAACAACCTACAATTATTGATGTTTTCACTTCCCTTTCCGAGGTTTTCTTCCTCTTTTAAGCAATCAACCATCGTTTTCCCCCATATTGCATTAAATGCAGTTGGTCAGCTTTTCAGCACCTTTTCTTTTAACAGGTCCAAGATGACCTGCCGCTCCTGGCTCTCCAGCTCAAATCTCCGTTCTCTCTCTTTTCTCTCAGCTCCCAGACGCTCCCTCTCCAGACTGATTTGACCTAAGAACATAAAAAGGGAAATGAAATCTGTGATTCAATGCCATTTAAAATGATGACATCATACCAGTTCAGAGAATCTTTGATCCTTTTAAATGGACATTGTATTTTCCTGAATTACTTCACTGTCATTGATATATGAGATGTTCTTTCTTAAAGTGTAATGGTTCCTATTTTCTTTAGCTGCCCATATCTCAGATTTTGAAAAATGAAATAACAAATGATTTAAATAGGTTTTTTTGGTGTTAGTTTAGTAACAATTCCCTCCTAAAAAAGAAAGAGGACTCAAAAAGGCGGACCCCTTTTAGTTACAGTTGATATCATTATTACTTCGTCTGAAACACCTGCAACCAATTTTAGATCAAAAGTACCCAGTAATACTTTTTTGTTATGGATACTCTAAAAGTGAAAAAACATTTAAAAGGAAAGCCATAAGATAGTGTTCAATTTAAATAATACGACAATATTTTTAGAAAAATCATACTCCTTTGAATCTCCAGCTCCTCCCGGCGCAGGGAAAGCTCCTCCTCTCGTAGCCGCTGCTCGGCTTCTGAGCGTTTCTCCAGGAAGCTGAGGATCTCAGAGTAGGTCTGGCAGCAGCACTGGCAGGGCTGCTTGGCTGTGGGCGCCGCTGAGAGCTCTGCCATCTCCTCGCGGTCCTCTTCTGGTTCTGTTGTGACAGTAATAATGTAAACATGCACATATTTCTGAAGGGACCAGACAACTACAACATCCATGAAGCTGGCAGGGAGAAATTACTGAAGGACACATGGGAAACACAAACACTTGCATACACAGGCTTGTTAACTGTTGTAGACATGATGTTACCTGACTTGGGTCCTGTCCTGTCCTGTCCTGTCTTGGTGTCCGAATTAGTTTTTACCTGTAGTTTGTGTGATGGTGATGTTGGGTTTGTCCTGCTCAGGTAGAGTTAGTTCTTCGAGGGCTCGCTTTCTTAGTTCATCGTCCTGAAAATAAATTAAGCATCACATCGATAACATTAACAACATTGAGAAGTACAATTATAAGCGCCAGCAGCAACTTTTACCAACAGTAGCCGTATACGTTCTTATAGTAATGTCAATACTAGAGTTGTTGTAGCAGCAGTATTAGTGGTAGTGGTAGTGCTGTATCGTCAGATTTGGAGTTAAATTGTGACTGAATGCCACCAAGAGGAAGAAACGGGAAGTGGTAAAGTAGTTACAGAGAACATAACAAATATCCGTTGACTTCAATGTCCTACTACTCTTGTGAAACCTTAGTTCCAATTACAGTATCAGAAATTAACAAATAATAAAAAATAAAAAAGCTGCATTGACTCTAGTTGATCAGATAATGGGCATCCTGACTCTAATTACCATGTGTGGAGTGAGTTTCAAATATATGGATTAAAATAAAAAGGTGTGAAGCAAGCTAAAACATGTTGTGTAATATATATCATCTGAGACAATATTGACTCTACCATTGGTTCCCAGAGAGTTATAAAATAATATCAATGGTCAAATGTGTATTAATAGACAGGAAAATAAGAGAAAAGTGCTATACTTGTATTATACTTGAGGGTTTTCTCTAAACAAGCTATTTTCTTATTTGAAATTCTGGATATTTTTGTTTCTTACTGTATGGCCGCTTACAATTATTCAGATAAAGTGCTCACTACTTACATGCCACGTGAATATGGTCTTACAATGACATTGCTTCATTTTAAGGGGTTACAAGCTTAAAAGGTTTGGAACCACTGGACTTTAAAGAAATATTCTGTCTTTTAAATATTCCTGTCAGTCTTTGAAATTATTATAATTGAGCTCAATTGTCCTTGGCTGAGAACATTTTATGTAAGTAAGAATTACTGTATGCTGCAATATAAAGGGATTTCCGCTCAAACCTGTGTGATGTGTAACATATAAAGTTGATGTGCCCTCCAAACCAGCTCTAGGGCACTAAAGCATCCTCTGGAAAGATGCATCTCTTGTTCTGGTAGTGTCACATCGATTTAACTTCTCTTCTCAGCAAACAAACCCACCTGGTACTTTGTGTTTTCCCCGCCGGCCAGAAGCCCCTTCTCCGCCTCCAGCTCCAAAACCTCATGGAGCAGGTCTTCCTTTTGAGCGTACAACCTCTCTGTTCCAAATCTGAGCATACCAAAAGCACACAATCATTAAACTTCAGTTTGTTTCACATCTTCAAGTCATCACACATGCAGATATTTACTAAGGAAACATTAACGTTTACTCCTAGAGACTGAACCAACCTGCGCAGACTGGGGAAGTCTTGCTTCTTGTAGTAGTCCAGCAGCAGCATGGTCCTCTCTCTGCACCTCCTGGCGTCCACCTCAAAGTTCTCATCTTGTAGAGCTGCAGTGATGATCTCACCAACACGGGCCCAGATCCGTCCTGATTGAAATGAATGAGTTTACAAAAGTATGAATATGTAGTATGGAAGAAAAGGGCCATTCACTTTGTAGCTCATCACATGTTCCTATTGATTGGTCCCTGTTGTGTGATGGATTTCTTGTGTGATTATTGGATGATTTAACAAAATAGCAAAGAACACACTTAGGTAATAATAAACCTTAAAGTTGCTATTATTGTTTTACATGAATATGGTTTATATCCCCATTTGTTTTGCAGGAACTGCAGCTCTCTGCATCTAAAGAGTTGTTGATTGTTCTTTTAAAAACAGGAGTCACCTGGCTCCTTTGAGGCGAAGGGGTTCTGGGCGATGACCTCTCGCAGAAGGATGATGTCATGACGAGCTGAAAAACGAACCTGGCGCTTGCGTGGAGCTGTGGAGGTGCCGGCGAGGGAAAACCCTGAAGTTCGGAATAGATACTGCATAAAGTCATACTTTGAAATACAGTAAAGTGAAATAATGAAAAGAGTACATTATTGACATTAAGGGTCTAGTTCCTAAAAAGTAAGTTAAAACACACAATTATATAATAATAATAATAATAATTGTGTTATTATTATTATTATTATTATTATTAACATTACAGGTCAGTCCTAAACTTGGGCGTATGTTAGTGCTTTGATTCTTATTCACCTGAATCATAGCATAAGGTCTTTAATACAAACTGTGGAATATTTTACAACTACATTACCATACCTACCATACATATAACTAACAAACCAGATACTAAAGTACTCTGTACAATGACAATAAAGTTTAAAATGCTGACTAATAGATGTTATGTTGGAGAGTAAGTATGGCCTGTGTTCTCGGTGCAGAGGTAAATGTGACAGCAGTTTCAGTTGCAGGACTGCTGTTTGACAGATGACAGCAGCTCTCTCACGGCTGAGCTCCTCTGTGTACAAGTGCCAGGCAGCAACCGGTAATCTGCAGCTACACGAATGTAAACACAGAAAAGGGAGAAAATAGCCTGTAAAACACTGATAGCCGTGTACACAGAGGCTACAGCACGTACAATGCCGGACCACGCGTCAGAGGAGGAGGAGCATTTGCGCACGAATCGAGAGAAGCACCAAACGCCGTTCTAGAGATGTTAATATAAGTGGTAGAAAGGCGGTTTGACGTGGAGCTGGTCATGTATCTCACCGTTGTTGATCGGTAGTTCCACCACTACCCGTTCCATGTTTCTGTTCGGTGCATCCGGGAAGCGGCTGACGCGCACTGCACACGTCCAGTCACCAGTACAGGTTCCCTACTGACGTGTAACTCAACTTGGCGGAAAACCAGATTCTGGCAAGACAGAGTACCGCTCTTCACTTTCAGTGGCACTTACTCCATTTGGCCACAAGATGGAGCCAGAGAACTGCTGTTCAATGACCCTGAAGAGGAAAAAGCACCACAAATCTTCCACTGGCAATTAACTCTTCAGTGAGACGTGTTTCCACAAACAATGGGAATGATTACATTCACTAAAAAAAAGAATGGTCCCTCAAGGTTACATTTCTAAAAAGATTCAGACTCTGAGAAAAGCAAAGATTCAAAATTCAAACCTTATATATTTATATATGTGCAAACAAAAAAGTACTTGAGCTCTTGTGAACAGTGTTTAGCACTAACTAACCACTAGGTGTCCCCCAAATGATTGAAAACATTTGTATTAATGCACATCATTTGTATGTTGAACTTCTCATCCTCAACTTAAAAAGTACATGTGTAAAGTCAGTGGCCAATACCTTAACTCCTGCAGTTAGATTTGATTGCAATTTGGATTCTCATGGTCACCTTTATCTAATGATCTACCTTTTCACACCACTGGGATATGTGCAGGGCCGTCCCTGGCCAACATGAGGCCCCACGCAAAGTGATATGATGAGGCCCTCTGTTTCGCGAGCGTCGACCGGGGGGGGGGGTGCTAGTGGAGCGAAACCGTGCCGCGCCACACTAATTGCGCCGCATAAGCGCATAGGTGCGCTGCATTTTCGGCTCAGTTGAGGTCCCCTCTGCAAGATGAGGCCCCCTCCGCAAGGTGAGGCTCCACGCAGTCTGCATGATCGGCCTGTAGGGAGGGACGGCCCTGGATATGTGCTCTTATCTCTCCTACCTTTATGCAGTTATCAAGATGTTAATGAACACTGTCTACTGTCTTATTGTATGCAGTACAAATCCCCTTTAGGTGACTGTCAAGTGATGCCTTTCTTTGGTATTTAGAGAACCAAAATATAGAAATGTAATACAAAGGGAACAGCTTAGTGCTCCAAAAAAGGAGAAGCTGTTTAACAATGTTGAGCATGGACTTTTTACATTAGGATATTAATTATCAAAACAAGGGGAAATAAATGATTGATTAACAAAGTCTTTTAAACACATTTTGATGAATGTGAATGGTATGAAAGCTAATGAATACCTTGTAGGTGATGTTCTAGGGATTCAAATGCTTGTTAGCGACTGAAACTTCTGTTATATTCAAACAGAACATTACAAAACTGTACTCACATTTCCATACGTGATGTTTTGTTGATCATTGCATGAAACAACACGAGAAAGCACTTCATTATATTTATTTTGGCTGTTATTTAACTCATAACCTCTATCACAAATGTGTCCTTTGCTTTGGTCGAAATGTACATGTTTTATCCCTCGTGTGTTGCAATTACTTGTTGTTGCTAAGGTGATTATGCAACCATGATGTTACAAATATCCAAGAAACCCTTCTTGCCTTCAAAGCAACATGGACATTTAAACAGTGAATGCTGCGCTTTATAATTGGTCTTATCCTCGAGATCTGGTATGGCAAATAATAAGGATAATGTTTAATTGAACTTCTGTTTTGGAGGATGAAATGAAACCCCATGAATCCTGTGCTGGAACACTCTGTGCTCTTTCTGTGCTAATCTTTTATTGGACATTCAGATCATCACTGCGATATAATACATATTTATTTGGTATATTTGCAGTCAGAAAAATCTACTGCAGTCAGAAAATATATATATTTCATGCATGTAGTGAAATATAGACCTGTATGCCATACCTAAATCAATCAATCAATCAATGTTTATTTATATAGCCCAATATCACAAATGTTACATTTGTCTCAGTGGATTTCACAGTTTGTACAGAATATCAGTATGACAATACGACACCCTCTGTCCTTAGACCCTCACATCGCACAAGGAAAAACTTCCGGAGAAAACCCACAGTTTAAAGGGAAAAATGAGAGAAACAGGGGGTTACGTATTGTAACCCTAGTTATATAAGCACAGGTGGAGCCCTCTACTGGACTCTATGGGTACTACTCTCTCTATCATGCTGTGCGTGCTTTCACCTACTGAGTTTACGTAAACGTAGCCGGCCAATCGGGGCGTGCCTACCTGAATGCGCGCGCAGGCCCACAGTATATAAGGCGGCTACACCCGCCGCCCACTATCCTATACACTCTTCAGCGAGCGGACAAGGATATACAGGGCCCCCAGGTAGAGGGCTCCGCCTGTGCTTATATAACTAGGGTTACAATACGTAACCCCCTGTTATATTTCACACAGGCTCCGCCCTCTACTGGACTACAGTGGGCGGAGCCACGATGTATACACGCCCTGTCATCCAACAACATCGACCCACCACACCGTCCCTGACCGGCTTTTGGCTAACATCCATTGCATCCCCACTTCCTCCCATCCGGTTGTAACCGTAGAGAAGTCGGGGCCGCAATTTGGATAAGTCACACTCACACACGCTTACTTCGTGTAGAGTGTGCATGGAAAAGATCTGTGCGGAGACTCCGTCTGGAGCCTACCGCGCACCATATTCCCCAGGTCCCTCAGGAGCATGGGAAAACATAAGTGCACCACGTCCCCCACACTCACACACGCTCCGTGTAGAGTGGGCATGGACAATAGTGAGGAAGGCTATCCCAGCCTGCCTCCAGCCCTGTATGGGGCTGATTGCGCACCATGTCTCCCGAGTCCCTCAGGAGCATGGGAAAACACAAGTGCTGGGGGGGTCAGACACCTGCTGACCCACAGCCACCCCCCCTCTCACCAGTCATGCGTTGCCCCGGCAAGCACAGACGACGAGAAGGAGCCAGACATGTCCAGGAGATAACATTTTATGAAGGAGCCTGGCGTAGACCAAGACGCCGCCGTGCATATATCTTCTACACTCACGCCGCTGAATAAGGCTGTTTGACACAGCCACAGCCCGTGTAGAATGTGCACGGACCCCAGTGGGGAAGGCTCTCCCCGCCCGTCCATAGGCATGTGTAATGCACTCGCAGAGCCATCCTGCTAGGCGCTTCTTGAGAGAGCTTTTCCAGCCACACCATCCCCAAAGCACACAAACAGTTGTTCAGTGCGCCTAATGGTAGCCGTGTGCTCTACATAGCATGCTAGCGCCCGCACTGGGCAGAGGAGGTGCAACTTAGCCTCCCTGGCCCCAACATGGGGAGGAGGATTAAAGCCACCTAACTGAATAGCCCTTGATCTGAATGAAGTTATCATACTCTTAGGAGTAAAGGAGGGGTTCGGCCTGAGTGTCGCCCCGCTACGGTCACCCCGGATCAACAGACAGCTTGGGTGCAGCGACAGAGCGGTCAACTCAGACACTCTTTTGGCCGGAGTCAAGGCAAGTAGCAATGCTGTCTTCCATGACAGTGCTTTCAGGGAGGAAAGCTCCAGAGGCTCAAATGGTTCTGTGACCAGAGCCTCGAGCACCAACGGCAGGTCCCACTGTGGGGCGGAGGCGTGCACTACCGGGCACTGCCTCCTGACCCCCTGCAAAAACTGCGTCATAAGCGGCTGACTGAAGGCTGACCTGCCTCCAAATCACTCATGGCGGGACGAAATGGCTGCTGCATACACCTTAATTGTGGAATGAGCCAGCCCCCTGTCCACCAGTATCTGTAAGTAGGTAAGAATAGAGCCCAGCGTGCACGACAGAGGCTCTAGACTCCTTCCTTCACACCATCGCCGGAATCCAGCCCACTTTGGCCTACAACAGGCTGTGGTGGATCCTGCTCTTGCTGCTTCGATAGTCTAAATAACGTTGTCGACAGCCCCACCTGTCTCAGCCTGTCCCTCTCAGGTGCCAAGCCTGGAGAGGTTGGCCCAGAGTGGGTAACGCCCCTATTGCACCTGCTTCCTGAGACAGCGCTCCCCAGACCTGAGGAATCGCCCAGGGCTGGCCCACCATCATCTGTGGTGCCACGGCGCCAGGCGGCGAACTGGGGCCACCAGGATGATTGACAGCTGTTCCCGTCTCACCCTCTCCAGGAGGGGGGGATAAGGCGCAGCGGTGGAAAGGCGTAAAGCAGCTTTCTTGGCCATGGCTCGTGTGCAAATGCGTCGACCCCCAAGGATGGGTTGTCCCACCGAGCCAGGGAGAACCACAGGGCACAGTGGCTGTTGCGCCGATTGGCGAACAGGTACAACCTCTGCTCCTCCCGAACTGAGTCCAGACCTGCTTCACCACCTCCGGGTGAAGCCTCCACTCGTTTGGCTGGGGTCCGCCTCTTGACATGAGGTCGGCCCCCCCGTTCTCCCGCCCAGGGATGTGCAGGGCCCTTAGAGACAACACAATCTGTGACACCCACTGCCACAGGTTCTCTGCTGCGGTCAACAAGGCTATTGAACGCCACTGTGGTGCGGTTGTCGCTCCTTAGCCAACACACTCTCACTCCATAATCGTCCAGGAGCGACGTTTGGTCAGGGTCCCGTATGGTGTGCAGTTGTGACGCTCCTAGGCTCCCTCAGCTTCATAAAGGGACGCAAATAGCTTTCAACTGATTGCAATGTATTCCCATCTGCGGCGGGATTTGACGCTCATGGAAGCACGGCATTCGTTTTGTCGGCTGCCCTTAAAGGCAATGTGAGCGTCCATTCCCATTGGATAACAGAGAATTGTACACCCGGAAGTAAGTATTCTCCTTACTGTCGATTGATTTTACAGTGATATCTGCACTACTCATCGACTAAAAAACACCAGATTATCCTTGTTAATTATTTTAATAAATTAATAATTTAATAAATAATAAATAATAATAAATTATTTAATAAATTATTTTGAGAGGGACTGTGGGAGCATTTTGTGAATCCAATGTACGGATTAATCTGTTATGAGTGAATGAACAGGGTCAAAATGTCAAATCTTGGCAAAAAGGTTTTCGATAGAAGTTGAGGGTTTTGACGCTGTTGTCTGCTGTCAAGGTATTATCTCAAAGATCGGACATTTTCTTATCCTCTTATGGAACCAAAGGGTATGTAGGTGTCTTTCTGCTGCAT